GCGTGACACCAGGGTGGACGCTGGTAGGGCATGGCTTGCCTCCTCCCTACCTGTGCCCCCTTGGAGGGGCCTCACCCCTGGGGAGACTGGTCTTCCCTTGTCCAGTCTGTCCCCCAGAGGAGCCTTCGCGGCAGATAACCACCGTGACCACTGCGCTTGCTGTGAGGTGTCCTTGTCCTGCCGCTCCGGTGTCGCTGCACGGCACCATCACTACTTACAGACGGGACCGCGGGCTGCCGCTTACACACGCAGGCCACTCTGCGGTGGCCCGGAGGCTGTGCCTGTGACCACGACCCTGTGCTCTGTTCCAGGCATTGTGGCCAGCAGCCCGCGGCCGGGGACCTCAGGCCCTTGAGAAGAGCTGATGAGGACCCGATGCTCCTTACGTGCTTGAGAACCTGCTGAGGTCCTTCCCTGCAAGCTGCAGGCCCACACGCCGAGCCGTTCCTGCGAGTGCAGAAGGCCTGCTCTCCCCGAACGTGGCAGAGGAGGTTGGGTTTGGGGTTGGTGGAAAGCCCGGCATGAGCCCCAGCTCTGCCTCCCAGTTGTCCGCGCACGCAGGGGAGCCCTGGGCCCTCTGCGGTTCAGGCAAAGAGGGGGCTGGAGGGTGCTCAGGGGCTCTTCCGGCACTCACATTCCAGAGTTTTGCTTGAAGACATTTTGAAAAACCGAGCTCTTGGTCGGAGAGGGTGTAGACCACACCACCGTCTTACCAAGCCAGGCTGGGCCGCACGGCAGCACCGGGTGGTGAGTGAGACCCAGGGCGCGAAGCAGGCAGGGGCTGCTCAGTTTACCCTGTAAAGAGCGTCTGAGGGTGTGAGCCCGGACCCTCTCGGGCCAGCATCATGGGGCATGGTGTTACCAGCTGCTCTGGCGGGCGTGGGAACCTGAGCCCCTCCAGCTACCCGGGGCTGCCTCCTCTCCGCTGGGCTCTCATGGAAGCGGGGCTTCTCCTCTCCTGGATGAGTCACTGATGGGGGCTCTGTGCCAGGTGCCCCGATGCACACCTATGGGCCCAGGTGTCAGGGGCGTCCAGGCTAGTGAAGGTCTTTGACCTTCCCACCCTTCCTTGCCAGTGCGCCGGGACTCTGCCGGGCCAGCTCGGCTGCCTCGACCCTGATGTCATGGCCAGCTGGCGTGGGGCTTACCCGGTCACACCCAGGAGCTTTCCAGACCACGGCCCTCAGCCCCACGTGCCAGGCCACACTGGGGCTAGCTGGTGCAGTTGGAACAGCTGCGGGGTGACAGGGAGCCACAGCACACCTGTGATCAGTCAGCCGCAAGGGCACCAACTGGATCCCGCCCTCGGCGCTGCGCACTTCGCTAAGGTGACTCTGGGCTGAGGCCCAGGGTAAGCGCAGCCGGCATGTTCTCTGGATGTTCCAAGGGGCCCGCAGCCAGGCAGGGTGGGCCCGGGCAGTGGGGAACACACGGGCTCTGGATCCAGGTCTGCCTCTCAGCACTGACGCTGGCAGGTCACGTAACCTCTGCTGGCTTCGGGGCCATCCCTTCTGAAGCCAGCTGACAGGAACCTCCCGGCCACGTGCGCTGTGTAGCAGCTCAAAGCAGCCCTGGGTGCAGATGGCGCTGGTGTCCTGGAGGGGCGTCCTCTCGTCCAGTCCTGAGACTGACACTCCCACCACCCCAGGGGAAACCCTCCTCTTCCCAGGAACACCCACACTCAAGCCGCACTGGCAGGGTGGGCGGTGCTGCCGAAAGAGACGCAGCCCTGCTGAATCTAACCAGGTGGCTGGAGAGGCGCCCGCAGGGCAGCCCCAGGGAGAGGCGGAGGCCCTGCTCCGGAGGTTGCCACTGCTGGAGCTGCCAGCCTCAGAGCAGGGAAGGGGCAGCTCCCGGGGTTTGCCCTTTGCTCTACAGAGAGGTAGAGTGGAAACACACTTGAGAGCTCTGGAGTCAGAGAAACCAGGTTCGAATCCCAGGTCCGCCCCTTCCTAGATGTGAGACTCTGGTCAACTCCCTTGTCCTCCCTCACCCGCCTCACGTTGGAAATGGGCCCAGAACCGGCCACCTCACATCGTGGCTGTGAGCACATCACCGCTGCGTGATGGGAGGGGCTCCCGGGTAGACAAACGGGCCACCCGTCCTGAGCCCTGTGCGCACGCTGCAGAGGGCAGGAGGCGGTGCAGCCCAGGCTCTGGCCAGCGCCCCAGCATGGAATGTGCCCAGCCCTGCTGCGGACCGAGTTAGGATGGCGTCTCCTGGGAGAGAAGCCCCAACACCTCCCGACGAAGCCGAAGGCCACATGGAGTCTGAAAGGTGACTGTTCTTCCCGCTTCACCCGTTGTGTGTGGAAGAGCAGGCGGGTGCTCAGGGAGCATGATTTCAGACATCCGAGACCAAAGACTGACCAAATTTAAACCGAGAGATGAACTTGTTGGTGTCTTTTCAGATTACGGGGAAGGAGGAAGGGCTTTCTCGGGCACCTGGGGACCACTGAGAAGGTGCCGGGAGGCTGTCCGCCTGCTGGCCCTGGGGGCCTTGCCTCAGGGTCTGCACAATTTCAGTGGCTGTGAGAGAGGGCAGAGAAAGGCCCAAGGAGCCCCCGGCGGGTGGTGCGGAGGCCTGGGAACCCCCAACGGCCACTGAAGGGACCTGGAGCAGGCGCCTTGCTGTGCAGGTCACCATGTGGACCAACAGGTGGCCACGGCCACGTGACCACAGCCTGGGCCCTAGAAGTGCAGCAGCCCTGCCCCGAGCCCTGGGCAGCAGAGGGGGCTCATGCTGAGGGCGCGATGGCGCTACGATGACGCAGAGGCTGACAGCCCTGGGCGGTCAGAGCTCGGGGCACTCCAGGTGTGTCAACCTCACTCCGACCCTAAGACGCCGGTCCACACTGCCGCCTGCTGAGACGACCTTGGACACATCTGGCCACCTCCGGGTCACAGAACCCGGCAAGGGAGGCGGTGCTGCTGCCCTGCAGAGGCGTCTGATGTCACGGCCAAGTGGCAGAGCCAGCTAGGCCCTCGGCTCCCGAGCCACTGCAGCACTCCCACCAGCCCCCCAGGGAGGTTGTGTGAACACCCGAGTTCACCTGGGCCCGCCAGTGCAGTGGAGATACATACTGCTCTGCAGTGAGACCCCGGTTCAGGTCAGATGCACACACAAATGTCGTGTCACTTGACAATGGGATAAAATAATGGACACCTCCTGGCGACAGCTCAGGTGGGTGCACACACTGTCACATACATATTCCAGGGGGTTCACGGTTCCAGAGATTTCTTCAGTGCTCAGGGTCACTGTGGCCTCCACGAGTTATCCAGCAGTGACCTCGTGTCACACACACCCGAGGGCCACAGAGAGCCCCGAGCCTTCGGTCAGGGACCCTGCGACCGCCATCCCCACTCGTGCTGCGTCAGGGCACATGGGCCACCCGCCCCCACCGAGGCACTGCTTAGTCTCTACAGAGAACGTTTATTGTCTCCTTCGTAGGCCTTGAGAGCCTCACAGAGCAAAGCATCATCAGACTTAAATGGACGCGCGGGAGGCAGCAGAGGCGTCAGAGGTGGAGGCCAGGGCCAGCGTGGACTGGCGCGAACACCACAGGCCCTTGGGGACCTGGCCCCTCTGCCCACCCCGTGACCAAGGAGCTCTGAGCGGGCACAGCTCTGGGCTGGGAGCAGGAGCAGGGGCAGGGGAGCACGTCTGCTGACAAAGCCGCTGAGCCTCTCCCCAGCCAGGCCTGCGCTGCTACAGGAATGGCTCTGCTGAATCCCCCCGGCGGGCCAGGCCATGCAGGCACCTCGGGGTAGGAGATGCCGGCACTTGGCTGGAATGCCAGGAGCCCTGTGGGGCATGTGGGGTCGGGAGGACGGGGAGAGCCTAGGGCCAGATTGCTGCTGGCGTGTCCCGGCATGGCAGTGTCGGGGAAGAAGGCAGCGGGAGGCTGCCGGAGCTGGACCCTGTCTTGCCCTCGGAATCAGCACACTTCAAACACTCGCATTTTCACGGGAATCAACAGCGAGCCAGCGAGCGGGGCAGGCTTCTGCCAGCTCTGTGTGGAAAGGCACCAGATGGTTTGTTATGAAACACATTTTGGTCAGAAAATAGCTGGGGTTTTTTGGTTCCTGGGAGGACAACAAAGCTAGAAAAAAGAGGTGTGAGCTGAGAGGTGGGGGCAGAGGAGCAGCTTTGGCATCAGCTCTGGGTTCAACCCGACTCGACCCTGTTCACACCCATGCCTTGGTTTCCTCATCGGAACAAGCCACAAAACATTTCTAAGTGAAAGGAGGGTGAGCGGCTTCACCCCAGCCAGGACAGACGGGAGGCGGGGCCCAGGACACTCACTGACGCACAACAGAGGCGGCAGCACGGCCTCGGTGCGGGCCCTGCCGGAGGGAGGCACACAGAGGAGCCCGCCGGTCAGACTCGGCCACACTGCTGCCCAGCACGGATGGGGCCACCTGCAGGGGCCCTGGGCGCTCGCCCGGAGGAAGGGCAGCAGCCGGGCCCGGCTCTGCTGCAGTCAGCCTAACAGTTCCCCTGATTAAGTCAACTGCTGTAGTTAGCAATTGTTGGAGGCTGCTGGGGCCTGGGGCCTGGGGCCTGGGGCCTGGCCTGCTGAGCCCTGAGGGAGGTGAGCTCGAGCCACAGGTGTCCACAGGTGTCCACACAATGTCCACGGAAATCTGGCTGCTGTCAGTAAGGAGTGGGGATCTTCAAGGAAACCGGGTCCTCAGAGGGCAGGGGCAGGGATACTTTGGTCACTGTCCCTTCACTGCAGCCGGAACAGAGCTTGCTCGGAAACGGCAGCGGGGGTCCAGCCCCGGCACCCTGCGGTCAGGCAGCGGGAGACCTGACGCAGAGCCGGCTTCGGAGCGCCGGTCGGGAGTGGCTGCGGGAAATCGC